TGCCAATACCAGCAAATGTGGCAAAAAGGTATTTACGCAGCACCTCAAAGTAGTGCATTTTGGGCTTCCTTTGGGATGAAACCAGGAGATTAGCCATTTTATCCTTATACATATTAGAGCAAAGGGCCTCTTTCATGGAATACTATGGAGTGGACCTGTTAGGATCCAGAGCGCCTCTAGGTGGCGCAGGAGCTGAGACCTGCAGCTCCAGTGCTCACCTGTGTGGGTTTCCCAGCTGCCAGTACTTAGCCATCACCTGGTGCTTCCTAGGAGGATATTTAAACCCTCCCTGCAGTCAGGATGATGGCTCAGTATCGTTTCCTGTTCCCTGAAACTTGAACCCTGAGTTCCCAGTTCTGGTGAACCCTGCTTTCCGTCCAGAGTCCTGTTACCAGTCCTGTACCCTGTTTGTGTCCCGAGCCCGGTTATCCATTTGCAGTCCTAGATACCTCTTGTTGCCATTACCTGCCTTTCCTCCTGTTGCCATTACCTGCTTGTCCTCCTGTTGCCATTACCTGCTTGTAGTCTTGTTGATGCTACTTATTTAGGTTTGCTTTTGGGTGTTGTTTAGTTTTGCTGTTTATTAAACTGTATATAATACATTCTGCCCTGTCCGGTGTGGTCATAAGTGTTTGGTCTGCCTGTGTGGGTACCTGCGCAGGTGTGGGGTCACCTGTGCCGGTATCTCTGACAGGACCCATCATAAAAAAATCCTACAGGATAAATTACAAATCCTCGTTAAAAAGAAACTAACAGAGTTGTGTCCCCACAAAAAGTTTATTAGTATACCTTGGTTTCTTGAAAACAAAAATGGACTACTAAAAGTCTAGAGGTTTCCACTAACACATAAAGCAGTAAATAACTAAGTGTATATCTAACTTTGTGGAAACTCAGAACTTGTGAGAGGTGAAGCTCCCTTGAACCTGCCCCACTTCCTTCTCCTCATCACCTCCTTGATTTGCTCCTTGGCCTACGGCTCCGTCACAGAGATGGAGGCAGTAGGCAAGGGTTCCTGCTGGCCCCTGAGACAGCAGCAAGTTCTTCTCTTTCTCCTGCTGCTGTGCCTCCAGTGCCCAGTGTTTCAGGTCACACAGTGTAGCTCCAGTAGGAGCATGAGTGGGATTGTATCACTAATCCCCACCCTCTCAACCATTTTGATTGCCTCTTTAAAAGGTGCCCCAATTCCCAAGAGCCTGTCCTTGTACCATAATTGCAGAGGCTTATTGAAGGTGTGCTGCTACTGATGCAGCATGAGTGATTTTTCCCAAGCAAAAGGTGGTCAGCAGGTTAATGTAGTATTCACACATGGCTAAAGATGCCATGTGGTCCGATTATTGGCCTGGACCAGCAGAGCTGGCAGCAGCTCTGGCCTAGTATGGCTTCTATTCCCCAGGCCAATGAGCTGCAACGCAGCAGAGCAGTTTTTAGGCTAGGATATTGCATATGCATATGCTCTGGAGCACATGGGGGAAACTGCTGGTTCTAAAGAGTCAAAGGATGAGGCCAGTGAGGAGGAGATGGTACAGGTTACTGTGCTGTCACCATCTGATAAGACACGTGGAGGCACCACCAGCTCCAGCAGTGTGCTCCATCCTGCATCCTTCCCAGTCACCAGAAGATCCATCCAGTGTGTCATGCAGGATATGTAGCGTCCATGTCCATGCTTACTATACCATGTGTCCCTGTTCATTGGTACACTGCCACTGTCGGCATGGTCCAGGGTCACGGACACAATACGTTCAACATACTGGTGGAGGGCAGAGATTGCCTTCTGGGCAAAATAATTGCACTTGGGTAGCTGCAGTGTGATGTAGCACGGCCCATAAACATGCACAAGGGTGTTGATATCATGAGCTGGAATAGGAGAAGCTACAAAGCCACCAGTTTTGACAAACTAAGAATTGGTGAAATTTTTTTACTTCTGCTCTAGCAGCTGTGGAAGAAACACCTGCTTTGGGAAGGATGCTGCTGGAGATAGGGAGGGTGGGTGAAGGAGAGTCCTGTAGAGGTTCAAGATTTCTCATGGTCCTTCTTAGTGTAGCCCCATGACCCTCTTTCCAACTTGATGTGCCATAGTCTAAGCCTTCGCAACCCAGGGAGACTTCTCTCTCTGTCACCAGAGGCTGCAGATGCTGTGGCAGATACAGCAGGAGAATGTTGTGGGAGGTGAATGCAGTAAATGAAGAACAAAGAGAAGGTGTGCAGGCCTTTTTCTGCCAACCTGTCTCATTGAAGTGCTGCTTCCAATGATCTCCCACTGAGCTTGTATTTTCCAAATGGCTGGTACTTCAACCATGGCTGATATAATGCATGCTGAGGCTGCAAGCCACAACTGTGCTATCTCCAGCAGATAATTTGAGATGGCAGCTCCCTTCAGTCCTCTGTAAGTTGCCCCTGGACAAAATCCTCTCGCTTTGCTGTTCTGCTTCTCTCTCAGAAGTTTCCTATTCCCTACTCTGTGGCACCCAAAGTGATCTGCGACCCCTTCCTTATCAGTGAAGGCCACTTTGCCAAACGCTCCAGGTGCTGAAACATTACTGCCTATTGCTGCTCCCTGCCTGATGTTCTCTGATTGCTTTGTGGCTAAATCTTATTTTTCTACTATGGTCATGGCACTATCATCCTCATTATCTGAAAGGAGAAATGCTTGCGCACAGTCCAGATAATCCTTTTGTAGTAGCTAGTTATCGTGTGATCAAATATTTCCACTGGCTCCTCATAGCCAGGTTGCAGGGCTATGGCAAGATTACCAGAAGAGGAGGAGGAAGGCTTTGTTAGTGGTGAGGGGGCTGGCACATAGCAGAGCCCCCATTATGGGACTTTACAATCCTGCTAACCACAGTTGAAAGGGCAGGGCATTATGGGTCCTTTAAAACTTGGTCCAGTGAATTTGTGCATAAACACCCCCCCCCCCCCCAGATTTGCTGCAAATGCATTGCACTGTGAATTAAAACCAAATACTTAATTTTGATAACCTCTGCAAATCCTACAGATATGATATATTTCCAAATAAAGAATAGGGGAATGAGTATGTAAAAAAATTATAGACATTTTTTAGTCCAGTTCAGAAAAGCTGATTTGGCCTATTTGTACTCTGTTATAAACATATAATAATATGGGGATTACAACACCCACCTAAGTAGTTGGGAGTCCGAATTGAGTACTAAACTATCAGGAGAATATTTGTTGCAGAAAGTTCTGTAGTATCTAGGATTTGAAAATTGTAAACCTTTGAATTTGAGGGCAGAGTAGCGGTTGAGTGAGTGGACTAATTATGGCACATCAAATGGTGGGTGTGTGTGGATAAATTGCACAAGACTAACTTGGGGGACTAATATCACTGCTCAGGGGTCTCCACAAAGTATCACACACAAATGACTATGTGGGGCTTGTATCACTGCTCAGAACTATGTAGTGCAAAGCCATAGCTAGCTCCGTTTGCGCCCGAGACAGGAACAGATTTTAAGGGGGTAATGAGGACAGAGCATGGGGACATGAGGTTAAAGGGACAGAGAAGGGGAGAAAAGGAGCTTTTTAAGGGGGTGATGGGGACAGAGCAGAGATCATATGAAGATGGGGACAGAGCAAAGAGAAGTAAAAGGTATTTATTTTTCTAAGGGGTGATGGGGATAGAGCAGGTTATGGAAGAAAATACTCCCAGTGCTTTAGCATTGATGTTCCTCTTGTGATCCAGATCAGTGCATTTGTACTTGTATATCTTTGCCAAACATCATACAATTCCCTGAATGTAAGTGCTAATTACACACACAGAATACCAATTGCTTACTTCATGAGGAGATAGAGCAGGTTATGGCAGAAAATTCTACCAATTACATATTTAGTTCATTCCCAGGTTTCCTTCATCTTCCTTGTCTTTTTAGCTCCGCGTGCAAGGTATAGAGGGAGTGGTAATTTTAGGGTCAAAGGTGTGATGCTTCATTGATTGGTGCATGGAGTTTTCAGCTGGCTTTAAGCAGCATTAGCTGACAGCCAATTGCCAGCTGGGAAATAAGTGAGGCAATCCACACTGCAGCCGCCCTCAACTCAACCCATCCTGGGAACCAGGCAATATGCTGCATGTGTGTCCGCTGGTCGCCTTATGGTAATCTGAGGTGATCAGTGTGATCTCACACGATGGAACCAGCCAATAAGCGGCAGAGCTGCACGTGAGTGAGATGCTAATGTGAGGTGATCAGGACTGCTTCCAAATTCAAAAGCACCCGCCTATCTCTTACCCCCAGTGGGCACCAGGAACACCAAGTACAGGTCCGGCCCTGGCTGTGCCCCCTCACAGCTGTGCCCGAGGTGAGTGCCTCACTCACCTCACCCTTCCTACAGCCCTGCTATAGTGTGTTGTTTGCATAATTTCTATAGGGGCTGATATCTTTGATGATCGGGGAACTGCAGAGTATTACACAAATAACTACCCTTAGGGGCTGAGAGCACTTATCAGAAAACTTGGCAGAATATTGCACAAAACAGGCTCTGGGACAGCTGGTATCATGCACCCATATCTATGTACATATTATACATTTTGTACCATTCTGATGATCCTGATGTTCACTCAGAGCCGAGTCCCATCTCTCAAGTCAAAGCTGCCAGGTCCACTGTTCCTACACAGGTTTATGGCGGGAGCTAGCTGATGCACCCAGCCCTTCTTGCTCCTCTCCAGACAGCCAATGAGTGCAGAGTGAAGTGAATGTGAGTCTCTAGCTATCCTGGAGCATTGCCTTAATTTGATAATGACCTGGGTTGAAATTCTGGCATTGCAGGGTCATTTGCAGCAAGTTCCCGGGTAAGTTAAGTTCAAGCCTTTGACTTGTCTTAAGAAGTGCATGTCTTCACTTACACTCCTTACTGTTTCTCCAACTCCAGTAGTCCAATTTGCCTTTTTTAATTAAACAAAATCCCCTTTAGACTATGCAAAGCACTTTCTTTACACAGGCTAAATTGTGTTTATGCTTGTAATCAGCATTATTATTTGATGTAACTGGTCTTACCTCCAAAACTTGTCACCGGCAAAAATGTATGTTTTCTTGTTTCTGCCCCAGTTAAATGCACCATCCACACGTTTAAGATCTGACGGCAATCCAAGGTTTGTCAACTTCTTTGGGTATCCTCTTTCTACAGCGCTTGAGGAGTAAATCCAATATTCATCACCTGTTAAACAAATAAAAAAAAAAAGAATAGAAAATGCATGGATTTGGAAATCACATCTAAAATTGCATCACCATAAATCAGCAAGATGTTTTGTTGACAATGACAATGTATTCCTTCTTTAGTGTATTCCTTCTTTAGCTTCAGAAATTATGAACTATGGCCCATATTTAAATATAAATGTGTAGAGCACAGCAGTCCTTAGTAGCAAATTGACCACCATCCAATTTTGTTCTAAATAACATGGCAGGTGCTGGATTGGTCAATAATCTCACATTTATAGGAGACCCCCAACAATGCCATTTGGCTTCTGTCTCGGGAAACTATTGATGAGGCAGTTTTAAAAATCTAGCAAAACAAATGGCAAACGCACTCATCAACTTATCACCAGGTTTAAAGCAAGGTGCACATGGCAAGGTGCTTCCAACAATACAACAGCAAAATGTTTCCCAGGACACTCACCAGCCAGCATGCAAAAAACTTGTCTTACCGCTAAGGTTAAAAACAGAGGTTTTAGATACACGTCTTCTGCCGAATATGCGAACGCCGCACTGCCTCGCCAAGGCACCTCTATGTACCGCACTAGCCTCCAGTGCTAGACACCTTGTCCCCAATTATGTTGAGGGGACAAGGGCCTCATCCCTACATCCATGTTAGAAAAAGGGCCCCCCAGTCAACAAACTTGCTGGGAATGTTGCGTGACATCATTGACCAAATATTTGTATGTGAACATGCATCACTCTGGGGTTTGGGCGGGCAGATTTGTTCACTAGTTCGTCAATTTGTGGATAGGCTGATCCCTTATCCCTGATTCTGAGGAAGCATGGCATTTTGTTCCAGACTACTGTTACAAACAATCCAGAACAAAATTATGTTGCAGAGAGAATGAACCAAAGTTGATGAAAGTGGCAGGGACATGCTTTTTGATGTGGATATGCAAACAACTTACTAAGGAGAGGCAATTATGACAGTCTGCTATCTCCAACACTGCTTACCTAGCAAAACAACTCAGTGAGCTATGGAATGGAAATAAACTTACCCTGAATTACATAAAAAATCTTTGGGAGCAAAACATACCAATATGTTCCTAAATAAAAACAAACAAAATGAAACCTTTGTGCTAAGGAATGTACATTGAGTGAGTCTCAAAAGGGTTACAGATGTCCAGGGCCAAATTTACTCTCCCTGCCGCCCCAAGGCCGGGTTCCACAATACGCCCCCCCCCGCGCCGCCAACCCCTCCTCATCAATTGAGAATGGCAACCAGATGGCAGGGCGGGGGAG